AAGTCCACAGGCCAACACGAGGCGAGGTGATGCTAGATCTGGTTCTGGCCAAAGGGGATGATCTAGTGGGTGACCCGAGGATTGAAGGGAAGCTTCAGTGATAACGAGTTGATCACCTTCCTTTATCCATCACAAAGCTGGCAAATCAGTCAGCAACGCAGAAATCCTTGACTTCAAGAAAGATGACTTTCACAAACTCAGAAGGTTGGTTGTCAAGGCCCTGAAAGATCATGATCTCACAGGAAAGGGAGTCCAAGATGAGTGGTTGCTCCTTAAGAACATGATCCTAGAAGCAGAAGAGAAGTCCATTTCAGCCTGCAGGAAAGGTAGTAAAAGGGCTGGGAAACCCTTTTGGCTAAATAGGGAACTCATGGACCTCCTCAATCTTAAAAGAGAAGCCTATAAGGGTTGGAAGATGGGAAATACCTCTAAGGAGGATTATGCATCACTGAATTATGCATCACATCCCGACACCTGTAGGGAGTGGACCAGAAAAGCCAAGGCCAACACTGAGCTTAAGCTGGCTATGGGAATCAAGGACAATAAAAAGTCCTTCAGATACATAGTAAGTCAAAAGAAAAATAAGGGCAACATTGGACCGCTAGTGAATCAAATGGGGCAGCTGACAACCGACACCCAGGAAAAAGCTAATCTCAGTGATTACTTTGCGTTGGTTTTTCACCAGCCCAAGGGCATCACCCTGCCTTACAGGACACAGGACTATGAAGGTATGGGTGACCATACGCCTACATTTGGTGAAGACCTTGAAAGGCTGGATGTAAGTCAGTGGACTCTGATGGAATGCATCCATGAGTGCTAAAAGAGTTGGCTGACATCATAGCTCGACCATTGGCGTGGATATTTGAGAATGCATGGTGCTCAGGAGAGGTTCCTGAAGACTGGAAGAGGGCTAATGTGGTGTCTATCTTCAAGAAAGGAAGGAAGAAAGATCCAGGACAGGCCAATCAGTTTGACCTCAATCCCTGAGAAGATCTTGGAAACAATTGTCAGAGAATCCATCAACAACAGGCTGAGAGAAGGCACCATTTTTAGAGCTTCGTTACGGGTAGGTCAAAACAGCTTCGTTATGGGTAGGTCATGCCTGACCAGCCTCATCACCTTCTATGACCAGGTGATGCATAATCTGGACAGGGGGGAGAGGTTGATGTCATTTACTTGGATTTCAAAAAGTCTTTGACTTCGTCTCCCACTATGTGCTCATGGCAAAACTGGGGAACTGTGGCCTCGATAACCTTACAGTCTGATGGCTGGGGAACTGGCTCTATGGTTGGACCCAGAGAATGATAATTGATGGAACTGAGTCAGCATGGCATATGATGACCAGTGGTGTCCCTCAGGGTTCAGTACTCAGACCAGTACTCTAATATACTCATTACCGATCTGGATTCAAGTGTCAGAAGTAGACTGGCTAAGTTTGCACATGACACCAAACTATGGAGAAGTGTGGTTACATTAGAGGATAGGCTGGGGATACAGGCTAACCTGAATAGGCTCACAAGCTGGGCAGATATAAACCTAACGACCTTCAACACAGAGAAATACAAGGTGCTCTACCTCAGGAGAAAAAACCCACATCATACTGTAGGCTCAGCAATGCTTCCCTCAGTACTATGTCTGAAAGAGACTTGGGGTCATGATTGACCACAAGATGAATATGAGCCACCAATGCAATGCTGCAGCTGGCAAAGCAAATAAAACCCTGGCTTGCATTTACCAATACATCTCAAATAAGACCCAAGATGTCATTCTCCTGCTTTATTTGGCCTTGGTGAGGCCACAGTTGGAGTATTGCATTCAATTCTGGGCTCCACACTTTAAAAAGGATGTGGAGAAGCTTGAAAGAGTCTAAGGGAGAGCCACATGCATGATCAGAGGTCAAAAGAGCAGGCCTTATGAGGAGAGGCTGACAGGCATGGGACTCTTCAGCTTGGAAAAGCATAGGTCCAGGGGGACTTGGTGGCAGCCTATAAGTATATAAGGGGTGTGCATCAGAATCTGGGAGAATGTCTGTTCACCAGGACACCCTAAGGGAAGACAAGGTCCAACAGTCAAACTGCTGGAAGACCATTTTAGACTGGACATAAGGAAGAACTTCTTTACCATCTAAGTCTCCAGAGACTGGAATAGGCTGCCCCCAGAAGTGGTGCAAACACCTATTCTGGACATGTTCAAGATGCATTTGGATGATTATCTTGCTGGGATCATCTGACTTCTTAAAACAGAAAAGTAGGATACCTGGTGGTCACTAAATAATGCAACACACGCATTAGAAGAGGGAGTTAACTACTTGTATAACATAGTGGCCAATCCTGATCACGCAAGGAAAATCTTCACATCTGTGCATAGCCGAAGGAATAAGGGCATGACATTTTCAACTATGGAATGGAAGGAATAACCAGACACCCAAACCGCCATGTCTCTGATTAGCTACTACCAGAGAAGAGAAATGGATGTGGCCCTCCACTTCCATTGTACAGTTCAGGTTACTGTGGACTTGTGCTGTGTGTAGTTACATATTTTATAGGGCTGTGAAAAACTTTGGTAGCCAATTTGATTCAGAGGAGATTGTGTGATTCGGCGGCCAAGTCTCCAAATCTAAATCAAATTGGGAGACCCATTAATCTCTCTAAATCAAACCGGAATCCTCCAAATTGATTCAGGGAGATTAAGCGATTCAGCCATAGACTGTACAGGCAGGCACTAGGCAATGCTGGTGAGAGCAGCTGGGGGTGCAGCCTGACGAGCCCTGGCTTGAGCCAGCAGTCCTGGGAGAAGCCACGGCTCGTCCAGCTGCTCCTTTGCCCACCTGCCTTCCCCTCCCCCGTTGGAGTGAGGCAGGCAGTTCTGGCAGCCTGGGGAGAAGCTGTGGAGAATGATTGGGAACTGGGGGAACGAACAGGGGCTTCCCCCCAGCTCCCAGTTCATTATTGATCAGGTCCCACGGCTTCTCCTGGGGCTGCCAGCACTGCCTGCCTTGCCCCAGCAGGGGGGCAGCAAGGGAAGCAGCTGGATGAGCCACGGCTTGAGTTGGCAGCCCCAAGAGAAGCTGCAGGGGCTAGGGGGAATGATCAGGAAGCTGGGGGAATGATTGGGGGCTGGGGGAAGAAAAAACAGGGGCTTCTGCCCAACTCCTGGTTCGATCCCCCAGCTCTGTGATCATTCCCCCAGCTCTCTGATCATTCCCCCTAGCTTCCAATCGTTCCCTCTGGCCCCCGTGGTTTCTCCTGGGGCTGCCAGCATATGCCTGCCTTGCCCTGGCAGGGGCACAGCTGGCGGGGGAGGTAGCCGGATGAGCTGCAGCTTCTCCTGGGGCTGCTGGCTCAAACTGGGGCTTGTTGGCTGCTCCCCCAGCTGCTCCCACCAGCACTACCTACCTGGATAGTCTATGGCTGAATAAGATTTGACGCCAAATATTTTTGGATTTGAATTTGGTTGAATATCTTCCGATTCAGCTGAATTGAATTGGGACAGTGATTCGAATCACCAAATTGAATAACTGTCCTTCTGAATCGCTGAATCCAAAGTGAATACTTTTCATTTTGTACAGGCCTAATACTTTACCCTCACTAGAATACTCTCTCTCTCTCTCTCTCTCCATTGCCTTGCAAAGATCATTTGAACTTCTTATGACATGGACAGTTGTGCAGAATCTCCTCTACCCCTGCATGCTTCCTAAAGTTCTGGCAGCTGTATCAGTAGAATATATTTTATTACTGACATGTGATTACATAAGTGTTACATGTGATTACATAAGTTCAGGGAAATCTATATTGGATTTGCCAGACGGAATTATAAAATTAATTTTACTTCACTTAAACATGTCTAATAAGTTAATTGATTAAATGTATGTCTTTGTATTTTGCAAGATGTTTTAACTTGTTCATATCCTAGTGCGGGGGTTGTCAACTGGGGGTACGTGTACCCCTAGGGGTACTTGGAAAGGTGATAGGGGGTACATGTAGATGGGTGGGGACAGAGCAGGGTGGGGGGTGAGGGCAGTGGTGCCCCTCTGCAGACTGATGTGAGGTGGGGGGCTCGCAACCACCGCCACCCACCACCCCATGCTGCCACCCATGACCCCACGCCACCGCCTCCCAGGAGGAGGGCGGGGGGGGAGGGTGAGGGCAGTGGCACCCCTTTGTGGTCCACACAGGCACCGCGTTCTCAGTGGCTCTGTGGGTTGCTGATGGGCGGTGCATGATTGGCCAGGCCCAAGGTCCATCAGCAGCCTGCACAGTTGCACATGCTACTAGCCATGGGAAAGTGGCATGGAGGTGGTGGCGTGGGGTGACGGGTGGTGGCCACGTACAAGTCTCCCCTCTGTATGAGCATGCGCGTCCACCCCCTGTGTCCAGCTGCCACCACCAGAAGGGGTACACTTGTTAAAATAGGTTGAAAACCCCTGTCCTAGTGGATGGTGTCAGACTTGCCATTCAGTTTCTTGGTCCCTACATAAGTGCAAACAAGATTCTGGTCTTTTGGATAGAACCTTTGGGCCAGTGGTTCTCCACCTTTTTTAGACCCAAGGCACCCCTTCGTAACTTCTCTGAACTGAACAGCAACCTATTTCAAAATTGAACGTATTTATTATGGTGCTAACCTGCTTGAAGAGCCAGGAAGGAGGAGGAACAGCTGACAGGGAAGAACCTGCATTGTAGTAAGGGAGGCAGGGGAGAAGAAGTTACTAGCACCCTGGCTGAGAATCACTGCTTTAGGCTGAGACTAAGCATACTTAAATTTCAGTGCAGCTTAAGTGGTTAAAATGGAGCTGCCACCTTATTAACATGAACTTCACTGTATATTGGAAGCAGTGACTGGTAGTACACAAATTCAAACATGCATGAATAGCTATTAGATGAATCAGTGCAGCTTTTGGAAACAATGTATCATTCTTTATAGAACAATTTAACAGTTGGCCTAAATTACCTGTTTGGAGTTTTTAATATTTCTTTTACTGTTATATTTTATTTATTTTGCAGGCCTGGTGGGTAGGAAAAGACTTTTCTACAGATGTCTGGAAAATCTGTACCAACATTACTAACTGTACAGTTATTAATGAAAACCTGGCAGGTGCGTATTAATATTCTTAAGCTTCTAGAAGCTGCTTTGAGGAAGTATCCTATGCAAAATATTGCAGTGCAATAGAGGTCATAATGTATGTGTTCAATGTACAGTATAAATGCTAACTGCTCTAATCTTTTAAGAACTATACTATTCATCTTACTCCTTTTGAAAAAAACAATTGCTGCCTTAGTTTTTTTCTGTCAATGGGTATATTATATTTTCATTACAGAAGGAGTTGTGGGAAGTAGCATTTATTAAATACTTTACAGATGGCACTTGAAAAGTCTAAAATATACTTATTTTCTGGCATTAAAAAACCACAGTAAACTAGTGAGATTTAAATTATCCTGAGTGAAAAGATTATGATTTCCTGTGATTGCAGAAGGTGAACCTGTTGGCCACTAAATGCAAAAGTTAAATTCTGGCTTCCAAACTAAAGTGAAAAGAACTTCTCTGTGAATGAGCAATTCTACCCATCCAATGCTGGTCCCAAACCTGGTTAAAAGGAGGAGTGTTAGTGTCAGGAAGGGCATCTGGGTGTAAAAACGTCTGCCAAATCATCATGATGTGGATCCAAGGAACAAACCTAGCAATTTCCAGGATCCACAATAGCAACCCCATTTAGACAGGACAAATGAGGGCTGAAGAAGGAAGAAGAAAGAAGAAAAAACAAACTAATGTGAAAAGAACCCTCTAAGTAGCTTAAATTATTAACTATGAGTACTAGGAGTACTTCTGACAAAACCCATTAAAAAAGATTAACCCAAAATCTTGCTCAAGAGAACACAGTGAACAACATGGATTAATGTATCACATTTGACTATAAATAACATTTAACTGAAAATAAAGAATAATTAGTCCTCTGAACTGATAAATTAGTTACAATTATTTTCTTTATACCACCATATCTATGAATCTATGAATCTATGAATATCAATCTTAGTCTATTTCAAATGGGTGGGCAGTATGAAGGAGATAGCTATGTAGCTTAAGACCATTTTGTTATCTGACCATTACGTCAGTTTAGGTATCTCTGCTGTAATTGAATCTGTGATTTCAGCATGCAGAAGTATATCCAAACTACTTTTAAGTTATCCAGGGTACCAAGTAGGCTTATAGGGCGCATGTACACATGACGCGATTACCAATGAACACATGATGAAAATGTCACTTTGTGTGGCTTAATGGCGTCACACTGTACACGTGCGAGAGTTTTGGGGGTTTTAAAGGAATTTGAATCATTGCAAGTTAGACTATATCCCAATGTAGTTTAGTTTGCAACATTGCAAATTGCAACGATACAGCTGTCAGCTTGTCCGCCAGCTGTGGGAGAGGTGGGCAGGCTCTGCAGAAAAAAAGGATTGGGCCCCTCACTTCCTGCTTTCAACAGGCTCCTGTAGCTGGCAGGATGCCTGGGTCCAACCAGGAATGGACTGCCTTGCCCCTGGGGCAGTGTGGGAAGGTGGCAGGAGGGCAGCTGGGTTTGCTGGTGACTGGAGAAGGTGGTGGGGACAGTTCATGGGGTGATGGAAGCCTGGGTCGACTCAGGGAAGTGTTGGATCGGGCACCTCCAACTGAGGCATCACCTGGTCAATTAGCAGCCTGCCTGGGCTCCCATCACATTGTGCACCATCCCTGCTGCCTTCTCTGGCCATCAGCAAACCCAGCTTCCCTCCTGCCACCTTTCTGTGATGCCCCATGGGCAAGCCAGACTGTTCCCAGGTGTACTAAGGCATCCTGCTGGCTGCAGAAGCCTGCTGAAGGCAGAAGAGGTGACGGGCCCAATCCTTTTTTTTTTTTCTTGGAGCCTGCCCATCACTCCTATGGCCAGGGGTGAGCTGCTGGCAGGTTGAGTGGCTCCTGAGCTGGAGGGGACTCCGGTCCTTCCCTCTGTGGTGGTGGTACCCCCCAGGGCCGCCTGGGCAGGCTACTAGGAGGCTGGATGCTGTCCAAGCTCGGGGCTGGGGAAGCACTGGATTGGGCTGGGTGCTGCCTCTGAGCTGGGGCAGCACCCAGCATGCTAGCAGCCTGTCTGGGTAGTCCCAGGGGGCACTGTGTCCACGGAGGGAAGGACCAGGGTTCCCCACAGCTCAGGGGCTTCTCAGCCTGCTGGCAGCTCACCCCCTGGCTGTGGGCAGGATCCAGCTCTGAAAAAAAAAGAATCGAGCCCCTTGCCATAATGTGTTGGAAAAACTGAAATGGTGGGGTTCAATCAAATACCCACCGTTTCAATTTAGGGGGAATAGAATAAAACCCTGAGGACTAAACCCCCATAGTGTGTACAAGTGTCCATATAGACTGTACCAAAATATGTACCTTTGACTTCCCTGCTACTGGTGCCTGAGTTGGCTAGATTAAAGCTAGTTCAGGTATACCTACTTGTCTCATAATCACCCCTACTGATTGCAACTTGGATGTGGGGTTTAGAAGAGCAGTGCCTCTCCAGATAACGTAAGGCCTCCATCTTCTTTATGTAATTAAAAAGAAAAAGAAATACCAATCCTTTTCCTTGTCAGTTCATAAGAGAAAGACATGGACTGATTTATAATGGAAAAGCTAAAATGAAGGCATGGTTTGTACTGAGTTGAGGAAGCATGTTCACTTACCTATGTTAGATAAAAGTTCCACAGCCTAGCATCAAAATATAGTAAAATCCTCTCTTCTGCATTACAAGCCATATTAAAAAAAGCTGAGCAGCGCACATGGGGGCAGTGTGGACCACCCCAAACCAGAGCCTGGCTGAACGGAGCCAGGCTTTGGCTGCTGACCAGGCTCTGAGCAGCGGGATTGCCCCTGCTGCAGTCCCGGAGCATTGGTGATGCATAGGGGGTGCATGTGGGTGCACCAGCCACGAAACTGGAAGTGCCAGCGGAAGTGGACTTCTGGTTTCACTGCTGGCTTGGCAATCAGCTTCTAGGGGACCCTCTCTCCCCTGCTCCCCCCCATCAGCGATCTGGTACCCCCCAAGACTTGGGAAGCACCAATTGTGCATGCCCAGGAGGCCCCCAGGACCCCAGGTAAGGGTGCTGGCCCCAGCCTCCCCAAGTAACCTGCCACTTGTCAGAGGGCATGGCACTTGTCCCCGGGGACATGTAGCACTGCTGCCTCTTGTCCCTGGAGAAACAAATGTCCATGCTTGCGTGGATGCGGCCCTACAGTTTCACATTGCTGATGGAGCATAGCTGACACTGGAGGATGCTTGTGGACAGAGTCACTCCTGTGGAAAGTTCTGAATATCAGAAGGCTTTAAAACTATTAAAATACAGGCAGAGAGCAGAACACTGCATGCTGTGTGCACGCTTACCTCTGTTGCAGTAGCCCATTTGCCTAGTACTTTCTAACAGAGCTGAGATCACTTTACCCACAATTCCTTTTTTCATAAGAGCCAGTGAGAGAAAATTAAGTCCATAGGTCCTGAAATGTTTGACCTTTGGTGTCTTCTGGCAGCGCTTCTAGAGTCCATGTTGTAACCAAACCTGAATACTGTACATACATACTTACGTGAACACTGGTTTGTTCTTTCACTACTTTTACATAATAGATCAGGAGTATTTTGAAGAAAAAGGGAGGCCTGGAACTGGGAGAGTTCAAATTATCTGTCTGGGGAAGCTCCACTGAAAAGTTATTTTGTAGTACTGTCAAACTGTTAAAGTCTTTTATGGTGGAGGAGGCACTGGATATTCAGCAGGGAAGAACATATGTGACAAATAAGGAAGGCAGGTGTTTGACAAAACATCCTTAAACAAGACAGGAAAGATATAGAAAGATGAAAGCAAGCTTTAATTAAGCATATGGATAACTGACTATAACTACTAGTGGCTGTTAGTGGGAGCTGCTGTGGGGAAACTGTTTGATATAAAATGTTTCTGTTTTGACAGAATATCAATCAATACAAGCTGTTCAGGCTACTATGATCCTGTCTACCATTTTCTGTTGTGTTGCATTTCTGGTTTTCATTCTTCAACTCTTCCGCCTAAAGCAAGGAGAGAGATTTGTGTTAACTTCTATTATCCAGCTGCTGTCATGTGAGTATTTGTGACGCATCACTTCTGTCATGCTTACACAGGGAAAAAAAGTTCACAAGGGAACAATGGCCCCACATAAAGTACAGACAGAAAAAAGTAGTTGGATCATAGAATCATAGAAGTTGGGTCAGAAGGGACCTTGTAGATCTTCAAGTCTGACCCCCCCGCCTGGGCGGGAGAAAAACTGGACTCAAATGAGTCCAGCCAGGTAGGCATCAAGCCTCTTCTTAAAGACCCCCAGGGTAGGAGCCAGCACCACTTCCCTTGGAAGCTGGTTCCAGATCCTAGCCGCCCTGACCGTGAAGTAGTTCTTGCGGATGTCTAATCTAAACCTACTCTCCAATAATTTGTGTCCATTATTCCTTGTTATGCCAGGGGGCGCTAGGGGAAACAGTGTCTCCCCTAAACCCTTCTGGACCCCCCTAGTGAGTTTATAGACAGTCACCAGGTCCCCCCTCAGCCTTCTCTTG